CCTCGGCGAGGTGACCCCGGCAGGGGGGGCCGGTTCGCTGCACCCCCCGGACCGGCACAGCCAGCCCAGTATTTTCATCCTGACACTGCTCCAAGAGGCGCGGGCACAGCCTCAGCTGGCGTCAGTCAGGCCCGCCCAGTAAAGCCAAGCAGGGCACTAAATAAGGAGCCAGCTCCGTAATTCCTATCTATTTATATTAATTTAAAAGCCATTGCACCACACTGCTCAGGAAACGGCTTTACTACATCTGAAAAAAACAAAGAAAAATGTAAGCCTGGCTGGAAAGAAAATCTCTCCACCACAGCCAGAGGGGAAACACAACTCCTTTTCTTCCCTTCTGTTTTATTTTAGGCAAGAAATCCTTCAGCATGTCGACGTAATAAAAAATTTTTCTTTGACCAAGAACAGCGTTCGGATCGGACAGCTGATGCATTACGATTATTCCAGCCATAAGTACGTTTTCTCCATTAGCAATAACTTCCGATCGCTGCTTCCCGACGTGTCGCCCATCCTGAACAAGCACCACAACATCTGCGCCGTGGTCGGAAACAGCGGGATCCTGACCGGCAGCCAGTGCGGGCAGGAGATAGATAAATCTGATTTTGTTTTTCGTTGCAATTTTGCTCCAACCGAGGCTTTCCAAAAAGATGTTGGAAGGAAAACCAACCTTACCACCTTCAACCCCAGCATCCTGGAGAAGTATTACAACAATCTTTTGACCATCCAGGATCGCAACAACTTCTTTTTAAGTCTGAAGAAGCTCGACGGGGCCATTCTTTGGATCCCCGCTTTTTTCTTCCACACGTCAGCGACAGTCACGAGAACGCTGGTTGACTTCTTTGTGGAGCACAGAGGGCAACTAAAGGTCCAGTTGGCCTGGCCAGGAAATATAATGCAGCACGTTAACCGGTGGGTATGTCTGCCTTGGCAGAGCTCTCTACAAACACAACTGTGTTTACTTTTCTGATGGTGCTGGGTCTGCTGAGCGCCGCCTAGCAAGTCGGGACCCTACGCTGCTTGCATTCAGGGCACAGGGGGTTGTTGTTGCAGCAGTTAAGCACCCCGGGGGGGTCCGTACCCACGTACACCCAGCGGAGCAGCGGTGGGTTGGCCGCTCGCCCCAGGGCGGGGGCGGTCACCAGGCTCCGCTCCAGCAGGCAGGAGGGGTGCGGGGCAGCCAGGGGAGACACTGCGCAAGCGAAGCACCGCTGGTGGAAGAGCTTGCTCCTCTCGGCTGGCAAACAGGGATGCTGGCAGGCAGCTGCAGGCTGGCCCGAGCAAAGCTGCAATAATGTGAAGGAGGAGAGCGCTGCCGCCGCTCTGGCAAATGCAGGTGTGAGCGGGAGCCAGGGAATCGTACTTTTCCAGATGAGGCACTACCTCTCCTGGTTAAGAACCAAATGCATTCGGCAGGGCACCGCAAGGGGCCGTGGGTCAGAGTGCTGCTGAGGATGGTTGGGCTGACCTGAACAGCATCCTTGCCTCGCCCAGGCTGTCAGCACCCACCGCCGCCAGGCACTAAGGCAATTTTTTACTCACAGCAAAGCTGTGGCATTACTTCTCCCCCATACTAACGGGCCTTTGGGTTTTTTTGCAGATACTGGAAGAACAAGCACTTGTCACCCAAGCGGCTGAGCACAGGTATTCTCATGTACACCCTTGCTTCTGCCATATGTGAAGAGATCCACTTGTACGGATTCTGGCCCTTTGGGTTCGACCCCAACACGAGGGAGGACCTCCCGTACCACTACTATGATAAGAAGGGAACCAAGTTCACGACCAAGTGGCAGGAGTCCCACCAGCTGCCTGCAGAGTTCCAGCTGCTCTACAGGATGCACGGTGAAGGACTGGCCAAACTCACCTTGTCGCGTTGTGCCTAAGAACCCAAATCTCAAAGTGCCAAATGATTGTCTAAAAAGTGCCCAAAACCGAATTTAACATTCTTCAGATAGAATTCTAAAAAAAAAACAAACAACCCAACCAAACCACCCTAAAATATTTTCCATAAGATAAAGATGCTTTTTAGTCACCCTTGTCACTGCTCATCAAAGGGTTTAAGCATACTTAGCAGTGCAGGAGCATTTCTCCAATTTCGTGGATGCTACTCACGCAGCAGCAAAGTTGAAATATTTTGCATTTATAGGTGTGCTACTAAGTGCGTTTTAAGGTATTTTCATATTTTAGCATTCCCCTAAATGCCCTAAATCTCTTAATTTTATCGTCCCATCCCGATTAGAATTAGAAAAGCTAATTTTAATTTGCTTCTCTCGTATGTGTTGCTATCAGTAGCTCGGCATATACATATTGCCGTGGCCGACTGAGGAGGCCACTGGGACGCCCAGTTCATCGCCACTTGCAAGTTCTTCAGTGTGGATCCTGATTTCCACTGCTCGCATAGTTTCATGTTTACTGAATTTTACATTTTTTTAAGAATAGCGTGGCGAAGGTGGCCACGACAGGGCTTGTACCTTAGCTGGGTGTTTATATCGCTCTCAGAATGCTTCAGCGGCTTGGTTCCCTTTGGGCCAAAGCCCAGTCCAGATCAGCCAGGCTGAGACAGGGCCATCCCCATCCCTCCGATGATGAGGGGTCCTTTGGGAGGATAACCCCCGCCGAGGGGCCCAAAGCGCCGTCCGTCCCGTGGTGGCGATGGGGTGCACTGGGAGGGGTAGGAGCTCGGGGGCCTCCTGGTTTGGGAGCGTTGGCCATTCTGCCTCAGGATGAAGGAGCCTGCGAGGTGACCGGGCTCCTTACGACGACACGTACTCCTACAAGCATTTTAACCTTTTCTACTACCCTGTGTGACGCTGAGAACTGACTGTATGCTGAAAGAAGATGCAAAATCCAATTTAAAATGGCACATTTTAATTTTTCTCAGCCTCTTCACCTCCAAGCAGAGATAGGGGGTGAGGAAGGCGATCTGGAGTACAACACGAAACCTGGCCATCCTGGAGCGTCTCCCGGGG